GGAAAACTTCAAAATAAGCAGCGTTTAATGGTGGAGAAGCAGGCCAAAAGTCTGCTGCTGGAGCTTGGGGCGGGGGCATCCCTAAATTCCAGGTCACAGGGCAGTTTGCCCTGGCAGTTGGCTCAGGGTGCTTCTGCCCCCAACTGGACAACTCAGGGAAGTGCAGGCCCTCTCCCAGGGCGTTTCTACAGGAAAAGGACCCTGAAGAGATGATATTTCAGAACCTAGTGATATTTGGATAAATTGGCCTCATTGCTCAAAAGTGTTCTGGAAGAGCCTTCCATGGAGCAACTAATCATGTAGCAATCCTTTTATGTTCCCTACCTACTTTTCAACACACACACACACACACACACACACACACACACACTTTTTTATACCTTCCAGCACCTTGAATGTGCTAGGCGAGGGATCTACCACTGAGCCGCAATCCCAGCCCTCAACACATACAGTTTTAATATCCCAGAATTTATTCTAGGTATTTACATACATTTCTAATAAACAGAAGAAAACATAGATTCACCCTATTTTTTGTTTTGTTTTTTCTTTTTTGCAGTATGGAGTATTGATCTCAGGGACTCTCTACCACTCTCTACCACTGAGCTATACCCTTCTTGATTTTTCATTTTAAGACAGGGCCTTGCTAAATTTCCCAGGCTGACCTTGAATTCACAATCTACCTGCCTCAGTCTCCAGAGTAGCTGGTATTACAGTGGTGGGCCACCATGCCTGACTGGTACTTGCTATTCTTTGACCTCCTTCTTTCACCTGTAGCTATAGCCGGGCAGGGTCAGAGGTAGGTGAGGCAAGCTAGACCCTATGCCACCCTGAGAATGGCCTCCTTACATAGTGGGCCTTCTGTCAATACATGCAGATCTGCCTGTTGTCCTTTTAATGTCTGAATGTTCTGTGGCATAAATAGGTCACAATTAACCATTTCTTTCTTGATGAACCTTTGGGTTTTTTTTTTTTTCAAGTTTTCGCTATTGCTACAAACTGTTTAACATCATTAGAGGTATTTTTTTTCCTCCAATGCAGTTACAATATTTAATTTATCATTTATTCATTTTATATCTTAAGAGACATTTCCTACTTTGAAGTCACAATGCTGTCTTCTTGTATTTTCTTTCTTTCTTTTTTTTTTAATTTAATTTTGGATCCCAGGCAAAGAGAATTGAGTTAATTATTGTCTTTGTTAACTTTCTGTTGCTAATAACACAATACCATAGACTGTGTGACTTTTAAAGAAAATAGGTTTATTTTGGCTTATGGTTCTGGTACAAGATTGAGGGGTTTATCTGGTGATGGCCAAATCTTACAGCAGCACAGCACATCACAGGACAAGACTCAGCGAGCATGTATGTATGATATGTCCTCTCTCCCTTCTAAGAAAGCCACCAGGATGCAATCATGGGTCCTCCACCTTGATGACCTCAGCTACTCCTAATCATCTCCCTAAAGCCATATCTCCAAAGCCAGGCTCAGAGGTGCACGCCTATAATCCCAGCTACTCGGGAGGCTGAGGCAGAAGGATCACAAGTTTGAGACCAGCCTCAGCAATTTAGCAAGACCCCGAGGAACTTAGAAAGACTTTGTCTCAAAATAAAAGATAAAAGGGTTGGTGATATAGCTCAGTGGTAAAGCACTTCTGGGTTCAATCCCCAACACACACACATACACACCCACCTTTTATCAACTCAAAGGCCCTACCTCCAAACACATAGTCAAATTAACTGTCCCTACTCTCAATACTTCATGATGGGGATTAAATTCCAACATGAGTTTTTGTAGGAGACAAATCATATTCAAACCATAGCAGCCATGCTCCTTCATGCACTCCACAGCGACTGGTCCATGGAAGGTTCCTCTTTTTGTTCATTTATTCTCTTTTATCCCCATTTCCCATTCCCATCCCTCCATCTACTGTGGACAATCATGGCAGTGTGTTTGATAGGTATTATAGTGTCTGTATGCTTCCTGATAAAGTGTATGCACACAGTGTGTTTATGTAAATGATACTGTGCCATACATCTTGGTCTATTTCTGTTTTTTTTCTCAACACTGTTCTACAACCTCTTCACATAGCCCTGAGTATTAGTCAGCTTTGTGTCACTGTGACCAAATACCTGACAAGAACAGCTTAGAGGAGGAAAAGTTTATTTGGGGATCATGTTTTCAAAGGTTTGAGTTCATGGTCAACCAACTCCATTGCTCTGGGCCTGAGATGAGGGAGAACATCATGGCAGAAGGGTGTGATGGAAGAAAGGGCTCAGCTCAGGGCAGCCAAAGATGAAAGAGAGAGTGTGGAGACATAGTCCAGGCCACATCCCAGTGACCTACTTCCTCCAGCCACACCCCACCTGCCTCCGGTTACCACCCAGTAGTCCTTTCAAATTATTAATCCAACAAAAGGATGAGGTCACACCTCTCGTAATCTAATCATTTTCCCTCTGAACATTCCTGCATTGCCTAAAACATGAGCTTTCGAGAGGCAATTTTAAAATCTAAACCATAATACCATGGTATGCTTAGTTTTTGTTTCTAAACTGTAACACATGCCCATAGTGTTGAGCTCCTGAAGTCCCAACTCCCATTATCACAAACAGCCTGCGATGAACAGCCTCTTGTGTGGTCCTGGGTATATTTCCAGGATGGCTTGCATTTTCTTCTAACATTAGACTTTGTTTTTTTCTGCAGTTCATATACCTGTCCACATTTTATTGGTTCATACATTAGAACATTTGATTTTGCTATGATCTAAACTTTATTATTGAAATTTTCTGTTGGCAAAAAATTCCTAATTTTCACGTAGAACATGTTGTTTTTTTTTTGTTGTTGTTATAGATGAACACAATATCTTTATTTATCTATTTATTTTTGGGTAGTGCTGAGGATCGAACCCAGTGCCTCACGTGTGCAAGGCAAGCCCTCTACCACTGAGCCACAGCCCCAATCCTTAACATATTGTTTTTAAAAACTCTGAACTAGATTTAAAAAAAAAAATCTTAGCTCCCAGGTTTGTGTTAGATGATAATAATACCATTTAGTTTGGATCCCTCCTAAAGCCTAAGGACAGGACTGGGGTCACAATAGTTTAACTGGGAGAATATCTCAGGGAGAAAGTAAAGAAGAGGTCAGAATGACACAGGGAAGGAGGGAAAGCCAACCAACAGTGGGTCATTGAGCTGGTCATCACTGTAAATGATTGGTTCAATCTTCCTGGACACCTTCTGAAGAATTAGATAGAAACTTCCTAGAATTATCCTGCTGAAATATGGGAGGTTGGGACATTCATCAACAACCTTCAGCCTCCACTGGCAACCTCCCACCACCTGACCTCCATGCATACTTCCTGCTATGACTGTGCGTGTGGGTACACTGGGCAAACTTCCAAACTGAGGACAAAATTCTGAGGTAGAAAAGCTGGGGGACTCCATTGGTTTTCAGACAGGAAGCCATCCACACACACACACAGGGGCTCTTGACCACAGCTGAAATCTCACACTTAAGTTCCAGCAAGTCTGCTACAGTCACCCTAAGTAGCCTCCTTGTGAGTGTATATATCTTTGTCTCTGTTCTCTGACCTACTTTTTGCCTTGCACCTTGCTACTTATTTATTGACTACACCTGACTTCTCTGTCCCCACCCAGTTAGACCCACTCAAATCTCTCCCTGGGCCTGGCCTATGACAACAGTCCCTCTGCCTCTCTGGCCCCAGCCTCTCCACTCACCCACTGATGAGCCTTCAGCAGCTCAATTCTGGATATTCCTCACTTTGCTCCTGCCCAGCAGATATGCTGCTTTCATAACTCTGTCTTTCTCTTCTGTCCCACTTACATTTTAAACCTGTCAGACTCTCTGTCAGCAACAGTCAGTCCTACTCAGATCACTGGCTTACTTGATGTGTTAGTCAGATTTCTGCTATTATAACAAAATATCTGAGATAATTAACTTATAAAGAGAAAAGGTTGTTTTGGTTCACAGTTGTAGAACTTCCAGTCCATGACTGAGTGGACTTGTTGCTTTCAGGCCTTTCATAGGGTTGCTGGATACAATGGTGGAACAACGTGGCAGAATAAACTGCTCACCTCATGGGCAAGAAACAAAAGAGGAAGAAGAAGGGGTCTGGGGTCCCATGATTCTCTTCATTGGCATGCCCACCCACAATGACCTAAAGACTTCCATTGGGTTCTACCTCCTTAAGGTTCTAACACCTCCCAATAACACCATGTTAAGGAGCAAACCTTTAAACACATGGGCGTTTGGAGGATATTCAGCATCCACCTAGACTTGCACGAAGTGCCCTACTCAGCTTCAAATAATAAAAATAAGGAGTAGGATGCCTAATACTGTTTGAGCACTCACTCAATGCGTCATCACCTTGTTTTATTTTTGCTACAACCCCAGGAGATAAGTCCTACCATCATGTCGACCTGACAGAAGAGGAACTGGGGTTGGGAGGTGACTCATGTGGCTGATGCAGCCAGGGCTCACGCGCAGGTGTTTGGCCATAAGGGTTTCTTTCAACTACTCCAGCACCCGTGGGGTCAGCCATCAACTGCTATCTGAGCCTTGGGCAAGAGGCTTCACTTCTTATGCCTGGTTTCTGACCTTTCAAACAGAATATTCCATCTTGGCTGGTTTGTTGTTGTTTGTGTGCTTTTATAGTTTTCTTGATTTATGGTGTTATATTGCCAAGTTCCTCTGCTCCCAGGGCCAAACTTAGCTGATTCCTCTCCCACCAGCCTCCTGATAACTTAAAATTCAACAATTAAAGGTTAATTCATTTGCTCCCCACCCCCAGTTATATGAGAGAGGATACACATTAATCCTTCTTGGCCATTTATACCTTAGCATGAGTAAATTTATGATCCTTTCCCGAGAGCTAGTTTTGAAAGAGGAGACAGAGAAGAAACATGAATGCTCTAAGCCTGGATTAAAGGAAGCCACTCCAGGTCATCACCCTGGAGAAGAGCAAGAACACATGTGTACCGGGATTGATGTGTAAGAATGTTCTTGGCAGCATTGTTTGTAATAGTCTTGAACTACAAGCAAGCTGTCTGTTAAGAATAGAATGGGCTTTTGGCTTCGGGGTTTACCCCTTCCAGGTGGCATGGTACAATGAGCTTCTGCCTCCAGCCTTCCACCTGCCCCTGCCAGGACCTACCCTGGCCTTCTTGGTACACAGCACACCGACCAAGTTTGACCAGGCCCTTAAGCCCTTCTTGCAGAGCCGCCACCTCCAACCACTAACTGACCCTGTGGATCAGTGTGTGGCCTACCACCTGAGACGTGTTAGACAGAGCCTCCCAGAGCTGCAGATGGAAATCATTGCTGACTACAAGGTATACCCCAACTGGCGCCCTAAGATTCTGGCCCAGACAGCAGCCCATGTGGCAGGAGCTGCTTATTACTACCAATGCCAAGATGTGGAAGCTGACCCATGGGGAACTCAGCACATAGCAGGTGTGTGCATACACCCCCGATTTGGGGGCTTGTTTGCCATCCGAGGTGTCGTGCTGCTGCCAGGGACAGACGCCAGATCTGCCACGGAGAAAGCCCCCTGACTGTGTACCTTCTAGAGCTGCCCGAATTACCCTGCTTGAAGCCTTCAATTTCCATTGGTGTGACTGGACTTACCGGGATGCTGTGACACCCCAAGAGCATTACTCAGAAGAACAAAAAACCTATTTTTCCACCCCACCTGCCAAAAGCTTAGCCCTGTTAGGTTTGGCCCAGACCAAAAAGGAGCCTAGCACTGTATTCCCTGAGTTTCCCTTTACAACACTCACAAAGAAGCCCCAGATTCCCAACAGTGCCCGGAGCTGGCTCAGCCCCAGCATCTCACCACCTATATCCCCTGGCCCTTGATACCTTCCCTATTCTGTGGAATCCCATTTATAGTGGTATTTGCTAGGACTTTTTGGACTTTGGCAAAAGTAAGGTTTTATTTTGGGTACAAGATGACCATTTCTTGGTCCACATTTTCAATAATAAAGATTAAGGAAGTTTTGGTTAAGGCAAAACAAAAGAATAGAATGGGCTGGGCATGGTGGTGAAGGCCTGTTATCCCAGTGGCTCAGGAGGATGAGGCAGGAGGATCACAAGTGCGAGGCCAGCCTCAGCAACTCAGCAAGGCCCTAAGCAACTTAGTGAGACCCTGTCTCAAAATAAAAAACAAAAAAGGACTGGGGATGTGGTTCACTGGTGGTAAAGCAATCCTGGGTTAAATCCCCAATACCAAAGCAAAAAAAAAAAAAAAACAAGTACAATGGGAAAATGCACCATAGTGTATTCATATAATATGGCAATGAAAATTATAGCTCTAGTCAGCAATTTATTTGAATCTTGCAACCGGAATATTGAGGGAAAGGAGCGTGATGCAAAATGATGCCTGCAGTGGAATCCACATCTGCAAAGTTCGGATCTAGATGGCAGATTATAAAGAATAAAAAGGGAAGTAAGGTCACAGAAGCTAGGATGATAGTAAATAATTCCGACAAGGAGGGAGGAGGTTGTGAGACCCTTATGCACGAGGAGCTTCTCAATGCTGATGATTACGGCTACTTGACTTGAGCGTTGCTGCACAGAGCACTATTTTGTGATTATTTGTTTAAACATCCAAATGTGTTCTATCCATTCTTCGATATATATGTTTTATTTCATTCTTTCGAAAGACAAACAAGAAAGTAGGGAAGGATTGAGGGAAGAGAAGAAGGAAGAAAGAAAGGAAAAGAAAGAACAAGAGACAGGAAAGCCAGCCCCTCGCCCTAGACCTCACTGCTTTGCAATAGATAATCCAGACTAGGTTGGGAGACTGCGGAGGGGGAATGGTCAGGTTTGGGGCACACAACATCTGGGAATTTTCAACCATACTAGATACTGCTTGTTCTCCGAAGGGTCTGAACCAATTTATTCTCTCATCCCGTTGTTACAGTGACTCACTATTGTTGGATAATATCATTTTTAAAAATTTGCTTCTTTTGTAAATGACTTATTGTTAAGTTACATTATCCTAAATAATTAATGAAGTCAAATGTTTTTTAAAGATCTTTTTATCTTTTCTGAAGTGCCTATACAAGTCTTTGCCTTTCTCTCCCCATTGGTTAGTCTATCTTCTTCTTACTGGAGTATGTATAGATTTTGGATATTAGGGGCCTGTTGGTTGAAAATATTCATTTGATGACTTGTCGCCTGTGTTTCTCTAGGATACCTCAGGGGATTGGCACATCTTTATTGGCAACTTCTGCCCTGTCTGGGTTTTTGTTTGCTCTCGTAGCAGGGATTAAACCCAGAGGTACTCTATCACTGAACTATATCACCAGACCTTTTTATTTTTATTTTGAGACAGAGTTTCACTAAGATGCTTAGGGCCTTGCTAAGTTGCTGAGGCGGGCCTCAAACCTGCCATCCTCTTGCCCCAGCCTCCTAAACTGCTGGAATTACAGGCATGTGTCATGGCAACCACAAACAGCAAATTCTGCCCTTCTTAATGCCATTTGGAGTTTCTGGCACCACAACCAGGGCACTGTTCTTCAAAGAGCAAGCTGCCCAGAGGCATAGGAATAAAGGTTTGGTCATTGGTTTTGATACAATAAGCCAACAATAAGCAGATGAACAAGAGAGAAGACATGCACATATATTTTGTGCACAAGGCATCATAAGAATGAAAAGTACACACCCAACAACCCAGTAGGATTTACAAGCTTAGATAAGCTCTTTGCTGGAGGATGTAGGCAATTTTAATATTTATTTAGTTTTTAGTTGTAGTTGGACACTATACATTTATTTATTTATTTATTTTTATGTGGTGCTGAAGATCGAACCTAGGGTCTCGCATGGGCTAGGTGAGCGCTCTACCGCTGAGCCACAACCCCAGCTCAGGATGTAGGCCATCTTAGAGGAAGAGTAATTGGTAACAACTAGGGGAGATGGATGGGCCTGAAGAACAGACAATGGCCCAAGACAAAGCTCCTCTGGGATCTGGGCGTGGTGACAATTCTTTGCTGCCAGTTAATCTTCCCTGTATAATGACTTTACAGGGTAGGGGCTCAAGACAATTGCATTCCTTCTGCAGGAACTCCTCCTTGGTCAGATAAGGAGAGGGTGGAGAACCACTCCGCCCACCCTGTGCTGGGAGAGAAAGAGGGGTGAGAGATGGGGTAGGAGAAGGTCAGAGACACCTTGTTTCCAAGGCTACTGTTTTTGACTAAGTCCTCAGCATGTCAAAGCTCCCTACTTCGGGGTATCATTCCTTGATCCCCAGCACAAGGGAGAACCAACCTTGTGTGCACTGTGCACAGAGCCTCCTCTTTCCTCCATTAGCAGAGAAAATGGAGTTTTGGCACCATATCAGCCAGGTCCACTTTTACTTCACACATTAGTGCTGCAAAGAATAAAATGGGAAAAGACTTAGAGGTTAGTCAACTTCTGAAGTTCTTTTTGGTACTGTGGATTGAACCCCGGATTCTCTAACACCACTGAGCTACATCCCTAGCCCTTTTTATTTTATTTTGAGACAGGCAGGGTCTTGCAAAATTGCCCAGACTGCCTTTGAACTTGGAATCCTTTTTTTGCCTCAGCCTCCCAAGTGACTGGCTGGAATTAGTTGTGTGCGACCATGTCTGATCCCAAAGCCCTTTTTACTAGCATAGATTTTAAGTCTACATGAAAATAATAGATGCTATCTAAACTGTGGGCACAGCTGTACCAGAACAGAGAGAGAAGTTCACATCTTGCCAGGGGCAGTCACCCTGCCTGCGCCAGTGTGGGGAGCCAACATAAAGAACTTTACTAATGGAGTGGGAGGCCATTAGCAACCCTCCCTAAAATACCCATGTGGACTGAGGACTAGCTTCGTCAGGAAGTGCCGGGTAATGGAGTTGCAGACACACTCTTATTCTATGCTATTGCTATCTGAGAAGAGGCCTGACACTAGTGAGGAGGTGGTACTGAATTTGGGGGCAATTTAAATACTTAATTTTCACATTTGATAGAGGAGACAAGATTTTTTTGAAGTATTAAAAAGTCAGTCTCACTGGGCATGATGGTGCATTTCTATAATCCTACCGGCTCAGGAGGCTGAGGCAGGAGGATCACAAATTTAAAGCCAATTTCAGCACAAGTGAGGTCCTAAGCAATTCAGTGAGACCCTGTATCTAATTAAATACAAAGAAGGGCTGGGGATGTGGCTCAGTGGTTGAGTGCCCCTGAGTTCAATCCCTGGTACCCGCCCTCCAACAATGAAAAAAAAAAAAAAGTCAGTGTCTTGGGCTGGGGTTGTTGCTCAGTGGTAGAGTGCTTGCCCAGCATGTGTGAGGCACTGGTTTTGATCCTCAGCACCACATAAAGCTTGCCCAGCATGTGTGAGGCACTGGGTTCGAATCTCAGCACCATATATAAATAAATAAGTAAAATAAAGGTCCATTGACAACTTAAAAAAAAAATCAATGTCTTCTCTCCCCAATCCTATCCCTCAAGGAGATCCCAACCTCTTGAGGAAACTCTTGGTTGGCGAGGCAGGGAGATTCCACAGTGTGGGGGCCAGTGCAGACGGGGTGGTGGGAGATCATGATGGAGAGATTGTTTGCAAGGAACTGGATCCTTTAGAGAACTGAAAAAAAACTTAAGCAATTTCCTATCAGGCACAATTTTGGGACTAGAGAACTTGTCTGTTGGATAAGGTAGCTCCTTTCCCAATGACTTTGAGAGATATTTAGAAAAGACTTTGTTACTTGCAAGGCTGTTTGGAGTCCTGTTTGGGTTTTATCTGACCAGAACGCAGTGCTGACATCAGTCTTAAGGAGGGAAATGGGGTTCAGATGTATATGGGTCATACTCCCACGTTCTTTATCTGCATCGACAGCATTTTATACACAAACAACACTTATTCTACTGGGATGGCTGAACAGGCTGTCATGTTATCGCAGGGCTGTGGATGTATCTCCACTTGTTTAGCATGTGGGAGGTCCTAGGTTCAATCCCCAGCACCACAAACACACTCAGCTAGAAATCCGGACCCCTGAGTTCCCATCTAGACTTTCCCACAGGCACTGCCAGAAGCCCAACCCAACTCAGGCCTGCAGCTGCTCTGTTAAGAGAATCTCCCCTCGATATGCGAAGATGATGTTTTTTTTTTTAAATTTGTTCTGTTAAGATATACATGACAGTAGAGCGTATTTGACATATCATACATACATGGAGTATAGCTTTCCATTCTTGTGTTTGTACATGATGTGGAGTTTACACTGGTCGTGTATTCATATATGAACATACGAAAGTCATGTCTGATTCATTCTACTGCCTTTCCTATTCCCATTCCTGCTCCCTTGCCTTCAATTCCCTTTATCTAAGCCAACGAATTTCTATCCCCCCACCCTTTTTGTGTGCTAGCATCTGCAAATCAGAAAGAACATTCAGCCTTTGTTTTGGTGGGGGGATTGGTTTATTTCACTTACCATGATAGTCTCCAGTTCCATGGATTTATCAGTAAATGCCATAATTTCATTCTTCTTTAAGGCTGAGTGATATTCCATTGTGTATATATACCACATTTTTTTTTTATCCATTCATCTGTTGAGGAGCACTTAGGTTCGTTCCATAGCTTAGTTATTCTAAATTGAGCTGCTATAAACATTGATGTGGCTGCATCACTATAGTATGCTGATTTTAAGTCCTTTGGGTATATAACAAGTAGTGGGATAACTGGGTCAAATAGTTGTTCCACTCCAAGTTTTCTGAGGAATCTCCCTTCACTCTACTTTCAAGAGTGGTTGCTAAAGATGGTTTTTTAAATCTTGGGGCAGATCTTTAAATTCAACCTTACCAGGTTCAGTCTATTGTTCCATCCAACGAGGTCTGTGTCAGGTTGA